CGTACATCCTCGATATAGAGACAATACAGACTAGATGTTGTACAGGCGAGTGCGCATGCGCGCAGAAATGTTTGCGTACATCCTCGATATAGAGACAATACAGACTAGATGTTGTACAGGCGAGTGCGCATGCGCGCAGAAATGTTTGCGTACATCCTCGATATAGAGACAATACAGACTAGATGTTGTACAGGCGAGTGCGCATGCGCGCAGAAATGTTTGCGTACATCCTCGATATAGAGACAATACAGACTAGATGTTGTACAGGCGAGTGCGCATGCGCGCAGAAATGTTTGCGTACATCCCCGATAGTTCTGCGTATAAATTGATTGATTATGTATGATTAAATTCATAAAATTATAAATTTATTGGTCGCTCTGGATAAAGTTGAAAAAAACATGTGAAATGATCATGAACATCCAAAGTACTGCGCTCCACATGTCCATAATCAGGACCATAATGTAGAATAATCACGTGAAACTTCGTGCAGATTCAATCAAAGGCTTGAAGCCGAAAATCAGTTTCGAAAATCAGTTTCGAAAATCTATACAAAAGTTGACTTATTCGACAGAACTATTGTTGGCATATCATACCGTAAATTAGCCAGGAATTTAATCCAGGAATTTAATCTGAAATTAGCCAGCTATTACATCTGAAATTATCCAGGAAGCCATGTAATCGCTGTGCTTGTATGCGAATGACAGAAGACGACAGGTGTGAATACACCACTGATCGTGTGACCAATCGACGGTGAATCTAATTGATTTCTATCAATTTCTTCCTAACAACTTGCGTGCTGAATCGTCGCGATAGGTACCAACTACTGTATAAGCCGTATTTTTCGCGTACAGATATTTTCGCGAATTCAGACTTGACGGACAATTTCGCGAGTGGTTAATTTCACGGTCGGTGAATTATGTATTATTCGGTATGAATGATTCGCGTTCGCGAAATTCGCGAAAATTAAACCACCGCGAAATATACAGCGTATAGAGTAGTAGCCAATTAACTGCTAACAAATTAACGTTGTTTGCATGTGTGATGCAGGCAGTGGTAAGACGTTCTTGCTGAACGCCATTGCACAGCGAGGCGCCGGTTTCCTTAGTGGACTCATCACAATGAACGGAGCCAGGATCACGAGCAAATATTTCAGGTACGAAACACACAACAACAGTTACGATAACTGGGGGGGGGGGCAGTTGTCAGAAACAAAATCAGTTGCGTACGTTACCAGTTATCAGTTATTTACGTTGTTTCATGTGCTTCATTACAATAATAATTATTACAATAACAATCCCTAGTATACTAAAACAGTTACTTGTGGCGACTGCTACGTTATTATAACATTTACTAGTTACAAATAAAATAAAATATAGTTAATTATGACAATTAAATATTAGTTATAATAATAATAATTAGTCAATGCATATATATATATGTATTGTATCAGCTACAAGAGCAGATATAATGCGCCATTTCTATGACGCCGGTAGCACGTGTTACATTAATATTTTCTTGCGATATCCGCTTTACACTATTAACCACTTCTGCGCGTGCGCGAATTCTCCGTGATTGTCAGGCCGAGATAGGACGGAAGCATCAAAATTCGTTCTGACTCTGCGCACGTGCGTTGTGAGAGTCACTGAATTATTCATCGTACGAGACCGTTAATGTTGAATTCGTAACCGCATGCATGATTCACGTAACGCGGTATAGTCCGGGAGCCATGGGGTCATACCCTGCACTGAGAGTTAAAGTTTTTTTCT